CAATATTTTACTAAAAAATATGTAAATTCTAGATAAAATTGCAATGGGAGGAAATGACAGCAAATTTTAAAATTGGCGCGCTGTTTAGTTTCGATTTGAGTTGTTAAATTACATTGACGTCCCCTTTGAAATTGGTGGCGCCACCGTCGGCTCAATGAGACTTGAAGTCTTCACATCCTGTCATTGTAAAATTGAATTGGGCATTAAGCTCAGGTTTGAAGTTTTCCGTGGTCGATGTGTCAAATTGAATCAGAATTGTAAGATAGCTAGCTAGAGCTGCAATCATCTGATGAATATGTAAAAGAAAATGACTTAGTTTTTTAACCGTGTGGTTTTTGTGGTCGCTCTTACATTATATAATAGTGTCCAGTTGAAAACAAACAAGTGACAAGATGCTTCGGGATGTTGGGTAAGTATTTGCTGAGAAAGGTGTGTTAACTGTTTATAAATCATAAGCAGTTTTAATACCATTAAAATTGTAAGCATTTGCGTTCTTACCGTAGCATTAATATCTGGATCGTTCAAGTGATTTAAAATGTTGTGAACTATTTCAGCAGTTTGTTTATTCTTTAAAATTTGAAATGATTTAAAGTTAAGATGAAACACGTCAGTCGTAAGCATTTACCTTTGAATGTATCTGATTGCCAGCGTGAATAAGCAGTAGCAACATCGTCAAATGAATTGGTAAATATTGTGCATAATGATATGTCATTTCTTCGTATATTCCTACTTGAACATACCGATATATGGAATAGAATGTTAACACACAATACATATATATGTATGCAGTTATGAACGTCACCTTTATAAATAAATTATTGAATAATTCTGGTGATTCGTGCATTTGTTTAAAGGTGTTCTTTAGAATGTCATGTGAACGAACCTGTACAGAAAAACAGGTATTAAGCTGCTCCACTATTTCACTTAGTACAGAATATAAACGTCCAATTAATTTCACAAAATGTACACCTTCCTCTTTTCTTAAGCAGACCGATATTTGCTCTTCATCACCCTTCATCAATTTACTTCTACACTTAATGAAGAAAAAAATCATTGAGGATTGTTTTTTTTTTTCTTATTAGTGATCACAAACCGTAATAGGGAGTTTAAAACATCGAATCGTCTACAAATGTCAAATAACAGTATGGTGTATGCTGATAGTGCTGTGGCTGCAATTTTGTTACGCATCAATTGTGATGCCATGTAAATGACAATGTCGAATACAGAAAATTTGTCATGTAAACTTTTTCGATTAATAAACGATAATATTGCCAACGATACGAAAGCAATTGTGGTCAATGTGTAGTAACACAAAATACAACGATGCCATTTTTTATTGTTTAAAGTGACTGGAAATTTTGCAACCTACATGAAATGAGAACAAAGTAACATTGAACAAATCCTCTTGATAACAATTGTCTTTGATCTTACCTCCTTGTCGAAAAATATGAATTTCTTGAAAATACGAATGAACCTAGAGCGATTGTGCATATCCATTACAACTATTATAACACCAAAAGTTAAACCAGAAAATAAACGTACACGATTTCCCATCATCAAAATATTTGATTCTTTTGATTCTTGTGCGAGTTTAAAGTTTTTAAAGGAAACAAACATTATGGCAAGATACAAAAAGACTGATGCCATGAACCAAATTAAATCAAAAACACTGACTCTGGCTCTTTGAATTTCACCGTTTGCATTGTTGATTATTGAAAATGGCATCGCACCAAAGATTCGAGAGAACATGTAAATCGGTCGCAATGTATAAACGAATCCATCTTTATCCATATACTTGTTTGACCATGCCCATTTTCTTTTTAAAAATGCAAAACGATAAAAAAATGTCGGCCATCTCATTTTGAATGATGACAAATGGAAACTAACTTTTGAAAAGTCACAGATAACGGTGTCAAACTAAAGAGTGTTCGATGACAACAAAGACAATGTGAAGGCTTACTAATCCATTATTTGTAATTTCAACATTTTATGACTAAATTGCATTCTATAATTATCTTATATGGTGTGAATACTTTATTAACGGTTGAATGTAGTGCTAGCTAGGTATTGAAATTCTTGAAATCATCGAACAATTTTGATCCAAAGCAACGTATATAAAAGTAATAAAAATCAATCAAAGCTTCTTGTTAATATCCATTATAAAATGTGTTGGCAATTGAGAGTGTCCTTCAAAGTATTTACACCGATGCATTTATGTCAATTGGACAATGTTATAAGCAGATAATATATTGAATTAACTGGTCAGTTGAGCTGACATTACGTTAGCCAGCTAAATGGGCTAAAACAATAGACGTTATTGTTTTAATGATGAATCACTTTTCTTGTTTTAATAGAAGTGATTGTTCATTATAACAATAACTTCTATTGTTTAAGTCCATTTAGCTGGCTAACGTACTGTCAGCTCAACTGACCAGTTAGTTCAAGATATTGTCTGGTTATAAGCGATGACGAGTATAAAACCAATCGTGTCAATCATTACGTGTTGCTTTCAAGCCATAAGCCAGTAATAAAATTTCCCTTTGAATGTTACTATTGGAATAAACTTACATTTTCCATAGCCTGAGATTTTGCCCTTGAATTCTAAAAACTCATTAAATAAAATCACACAGGGTAAATTCGTTCCGAACAAGTGAAAGGCAAACAAATTTCAAATTTTTCGATTTCGAGGTTTGAAAAAATAAATATATCACATATTTATCAATCAGTTCATTAAACATTTATCAATATATGGTTTTTCATATGCACCATTAATAAAATAAGTATAAAACATGCTCATCAATGGTAATTATCATACGCATCCATGTGCGTATAAGTCAGCAGCTCCTCGGAAAAATAATTTATTCTTACATTTTAGTTATTTAAATGGAAGACGGAAGAAAGTCGATACTTCTACGGATTACGAAGTCCATACGCAAGTATATACTCCTTCTTCTTCTTTTCAATTAGAAGATTCTTACATTTATTTAATATTCGAAAATGAAAAATAAAGAGAAATTCTCGTTGTAATAAACATTACAAAATATTTCGTCTGAAAATGTAGAATTTCTTGAAATAAATTTCTAATAATGCATGAGTTATGCGAAACTTTTTTTTTGTTATTCCAAGCTCCCGAAGAGAGTTAAAGGAAATAATAAAAAAAAAGCTCCAGAAGAATTCAATTAAAAAAAAACTTGTTTATAAATTATGGCAATTCAAGTTCAAGACATTATTTTATAAAAAGCATTGCCAAGAAACATATGAGTAATAGTTTACGTCAATAAATTGCATCAATAAAGTGGAATTTGTAATTAAAAAGCTCCAAAGGATTTTGTTTAGATTAAAACAGTAGGTAATACTTTTTTTTGGTACGTATATAAGAAAGTCATTTCAAATATTGATGTTGTTTGTACTGAAAATAGTAAACAAAAATTACTCACCTGAAATTAATTGTTTCAAAATTGCTTTGCGTCAGTAATTTTTTTTCGAGAGATTTTTTTATCAAATGAATAAAAACAATTTACAGCGAAATTTTAGCTATATAAGAGATAGGTTATTCCCATTGATTTATTCTACAATTGATATCACAAAAGGTACTATTTTTTTCATACGAACTGTTAGAGGTGTCAAGATGCTTTTTAATCGCGCTATTCTTTGTTTGGCAATTACTTCATTGCTCTGTTCGGGTATGGTGACTGCTGGTTGGGTAAGTTTATGAGAAGAATATAATTTATTCAATTTCACAAGATAATTTTTCGTGATTGATGCGTTTTAAATGTTAATTTCGCTAATTTTCATCATTTTAATTAGGAGCATGTGAAATGTATCAAGAAGGGAAAGACAATGTACGCAATGGGTAGTGAAACATTAGGATCAAAATATAGCGGTAATTTTAAATTGTTTATTTTTCACCATATTCTCGTCACGTTTAATTTCATATGAACTTTACGTATTGTTAGTGTATGCCAGATTTTCTCGCTTACATGGTGTGGAAAGAGGCGATCATAATTTAAATAATTATATTTGATTGAATGCGTATTTTATTCTTTTGTTGATCTTCTTGGTCTTGACAGCTCATGGAGGTGGTCAAAAGTATTGGGTTGAGTTTGGAAAAGGTTCGTATGCCAAATGTTCAGTTAACACTTGCGATGATAACTATGGATGGAGCGGCTGTACGGTCACAATAACTAGCCGACAAATGGAATAGTCAAATCAAAAATATATAGACGATAACATGATTGAATCTGTATTTTTTTTTTTAAATAAATAATTTCATGTTATAATACAAAAAGAACTAGATAAAAGTGTTTTTTCTTTACATACACTTGTATATCAAAAGTATAAAGAGTAGAAAAAATGCATTCGATTGTCAGTTTACATTGGACAATCAATTGATCACCAAAAAAAGGAGATAAATATCTGGGGCTGAAATTCACCTGTGATTTAAATTTCTATAGACAAATCGACTATGCATTAAATAAATCAAAATCAGTTTTTGGCCATTTAAATAACATTTTCAGAAATAATTTAATTAATTCCGAGGTTAAACATATGGTGGAATATCTCTTCCAATCAAAAGGAAAAAATAAGGAAATATGATAATCAGTCAAGTTTTATCCAATCACTGAAATAGAGCGAAAAGAATAGAAGTTATTGTTATGGTTATGAAAACATTTACATTGCCATAATCACTTCTATTCACTCCATTTCTGCCTGAAAATATCTCAATATAATGTCTGGTCCAGAGGACCATAAAATCAAAAAACACCTTCAAATTTTTCAACTCATTATTAAATGGACAATGTGAGGTATTAATTTATCCTGTAGGACATAGATTCAAACTAAAAATGATTACCTTCCCATTTTATTGTTGAATTAAACTTACATTTTTTCATAATCCAGAGACTTAGCCATTTCCTAAAGAACACTAAAAATTTCAGATAAAAATAAAAATTGACGATGTGAATAAAAATGCTATTTTTGTTACATGATATATTCTTGGGCACACTTATTTTTATTAAAACAATGCAAAGATACATATATTATTTAGTCATTTCGATTATTATCTCCAACGTTTTGATACATTTTTTTTCTTTCGATTCCAATTTAAATATATATTTTTTTCGATTTTCGATTAACTAATACAATAATACACAGTTCAAATACTCAAAAAAAGTTAAACGATAATGATACATTGAATAAGTGTTTGCTCGAATTCGTTTGCTTATAATCTAGCGACGAAAGAAGGCTCGTCCATTTTTATAATTACAATATAAATGAATAATAACAAAATACATACGAAATAATTATGTAATTTTTTGTTGCCAATAATAATGTTGAAATCAGTGTTTGTTTAAATAAAATTAAATTTTACAAATGTATTGAAGCATTTAAAAGTGGTCAATTTTGACAGATACAGTGTGAGCGGCCGTATTGCTTGGCAATTCAATATTATCCCAATTGGTTTCTAAATTCTTTTCGCTATCCGTTGCTTTCAACGATAATCCTAACGATGCTGTTTTGTTAGCGTAATGAGGAATATTCAACGTAACTGGAACAAGGAATTCTAATGCCTGAGGACCACACATCACTGTAGGGGCGGAATGTAAAAAAAAGAAGTTTAAAACAGGTAATTTGAGAAATATAATGAAAAATATAAAATTATACTAACCAAGAGGAGAAAGCATCGTTTCACCTAAAATAAAGAGAAGAGACAACAAATAAATTGCGATTAGATATCTGGTTTCATAATGAATATAGTTCGAATTAATGTGCAGTTAATAAATTAATGTGAAAATAATTTACATTCAGAAATTATTTTTGATAAATTCTAAATATTACGATAAATTCAAATAAAAAATACAACCTAGATATGTGATATTTTGCAATCAAGTCTATTTTTTTTCTTTCAATAGTCACATGCAAAAATAAATTATACGAAAAAACCAAAAACCAAACATATACATCCAAAAAATAAGATTCTAAGCCACCACTAAAAACATGCAGCAATTGAAATAAAATTGTTTGTTAGTCTTAAGCTACAAAAATCACGTTCACACACTCAATTATAAATCAAACACAAACAAAATTGAAGTGGTTATGTATTTAAAAACAATACGAAAATTGTGGAATCGAACAAATAATAAGGGAAAATGTACAACGAAGAATTTCCATTGGATGGCCAAATTTCGTGTTGAAGTGCATTTTCCAAAAAAGAATGTGACTACATTTCTGATATGTCATGTGCAAATATAACATTCGAACACAAATAGAATGCAAAAAGAAAAAAGTTCATTTTAATTTGATAAAAAGAAAACACACACAAGTCGTCACATAACAGAAACCAAAAAAAAAAACAAATCTACATAATTTGAATGTTAAACACGAACCGTTCAATTCATCGAGCGGAGGACCACCGACGGATTGGCTCATTCGTGGATCAGTGACAGTGAAATAAATTTCTTGTTTGATGCCTTTGGGAAGTGCTCCGGGCGGAATATCAATCGAAACATTCCATATTTGATCGGAAAGTATGCCACCATTTTCATCGAAAATGCCGCGAGTGGTAGTTTGTTCGCGTACCGGTGGATAAAATGTATGACTTTCAAGAGCTGCTTCGCTAGCATACGGCGTACTCTGTGCGACCGGTGGACCAGTTGGTAAACTAGCCATCGACGATGTATACTGTGTTTCGATCGAAGTTCGACTGGCTAAAACATTTTCATGTGATGATGGTCCACCGATTGTTTTTGTTTTCTGCGAATCTTTTGTCATTGGACCGACTCTTTTCATAACATTCGAAATGTGAGTTGGGTCACCTCGTGGTGGTTTCGGTGAATGAATTTGAACCTCTGTATCAATGGATTTTGTTTCGTCTTTCACAATTTTCTCTTCGCATTGAACGGTTTCAGACGGTATGACTGTTTTTTGTAAACCAGATTGATTTGAACTATTTACTGTATCGTCGTCATCTAAACCGCTTGAGTTACAACTATTTTGATTTGCAATAACCGGTGCAATCAACGTATGTGCAATGCGTTGAATTTGTGGATCTTTTGGTGTTACGACATCAACGGAATCATTTTGAATTTGCGATTGAGATTGGGGAGTTGATCGATTTATCTCTTCAGGAGTTTGATCGATGTGTTCACTCTCTTTGCCTTCATAAATGATTGGCTCCTGATGTCGTTGAACTTCCACACGTTTCAAATAAATCGGTTCTGACATTGATTCCATAGCCTCCTGTCGCGATTGATAGATTCGATCACGTAATTGTGTTCTTGTTTTGAATCCTTTTTCTTTCAATTCACGTCGACTTTGATAGATCATATCTCTTGATGGTGATGATAAATGATCGGAATGCACCGGAGTTGTGGGTGTTGATGACGATGACGGTGACTCTGAATGTGCCGTTCGTTCAACTTCCATGCGACCTTGATGTATACGCTGTTGCATTTCACGTTTACTCTGATACAAATGATCCAAATGCATTTCACGGCGACTCTGATAAATTGCCTCCTCATCACGACCCTGCGACATACGTGATGGTGCTCGATTTGATGGTAAATTTGTCTGTTGCATCATAAATGCGCCGCTACGAGTTTGATAAATTTCTTCTCGTTCAATTCTATCATCGGCTGGATTTGGTGTCATTCGACCCGGACGTTGCATTGGATAACGTGCTGTACCACGAGCCGTTCGATCGGCCATACTGTGTCGTCTCACAATGCGAGTTCCGGTATTTGTTGAGTATGGCATTTGATTTTCAGACGCTTTTCTCTCAAATTCAATCAAAGCTCGATTGGCATATAAATTTTCTTGTTCATAATAGTTTCGCTGTTTATTCGCATAATCGTCGTAAATTTGTTGATGATTCGCATAACCACCGCGTTCATCGTAATATTGATCATCATATGGCCGTTGTCCTTGATCATAATATTGTTGTTGATACTCAAATTCTGGTGATCTCCATCTTGTTGACGATCTTTGTTCGATCATCGAATGTTGACGCCGTAAACCTGATGACATTTTTGGGCTGCCATCATGTTCACTCATACTACCCTGTCGTTGTAATTGTTTTTTTGTTTTTACTAAAGCATTTTTAATTGCTGCCAATGGCGCCTTAATGTATTTCTTTTTAAATGATTTTGGCGGCAATTTCGGTGGGCCATAGGCATCCTCTTCCATTGGATATCTTCCATACGGATATTGATACTGTTGATGCGTTGGATATCGTTGTTGCTCGTGTTGTTGCCATTCGCTAATGTGAAAAGTTGGTTTTTGATTGTATTTAGTTTCATTTTCTTATTTCGTTTCTACAATGTTCATTGAATTAATTGTGAATATTTCGAGCAAAAATCAATTTCATCGTAATTTTATGGAAAATTATGTAAATGATGCGAAAATAAATCAGCAAACAGGTCTTGATTAAAATGTGAAGAGTGCAAAATATTTTATCGGATTGGTGCTGGCAGAGAGAATTTTGCTGGTTCACTTTTTTAAACGAAATAAAAAAAAATCTTTTTTTTTTCTGGAGGAAAGTGTGTGTAATTGGAACAATGATACGTTTGGACATTTCAATGATATTGTGTTTTTGTAATATGGAAAATGCGGAATTAAAGTGAATTGGTTTTTTTGTTTTGGTAAGAAAATGAAATTGTTTGTGAAGAAAAATAATTCATTGTTGATGACATGCACACGCACACTCATTCATTGCAATTCAACATCCACAACCAAAAAAGTTAGAGTAAAACTAAAATCTAAAATAACTCCCGATCGATACATTATCTTATATGTGTTTAAAACTCCTGTACTAAGAATCATCATCGGGGTGAATTTGATCTTCCGGAACCAAGATGCTCTCGACGTCATTCATTTTTAAATATAACAGTATTCAATTGATTGATATTTTTACACATCGACTACGGATTAACGTGTAAAATTGGACACTTTTTGAATTGAACAAAATTTCGATTTTGAAATGCGTTTGTAAAAACAATCTATGGAATACTGCTATATCTACTATGTGTGTCCAAAAATAAATATACCGCATAAATCTTCATGGAGTATAATCGAAACCGATACCGCGTTTTTATCCATACATGTTTGGCTCTTTTTTCGAACAAGATGTACGCCTTTCAATTGTGAAATTGTTAATAATGGTGTTATTTTTCACAAAAGCCTTCACCCGGACTTCAACGCCAAACCATCTATCACACTATTAAGTTTAAAACGAAATGTGTGACCTTTTCAAGCATATTTCAAACGCTGTGATCACATCGAAGACAAGAATGCATAACATAGCATGTCGTTAATGTGTGACAGCGGAAAAGCATAGCATGTATACATATTATTAGCTGATTGCAATATCAGTGCGATGTGTTTTTTTTAGCTAATTGCAGGTAATTGCTATGGCTTTCTTAACATGTATACATGCTGTGTGCGAAAAAGTCGTACAAATTGTCTTAAACAACCGATTCATCTATAAATTACAAATGTTTTATCCTATCTATTGGTTAGTAGAGAAGAATAAGCAAACTAAATGAGTGTTGTGCGCAAGAGCATCTGAGTTTTTTATTTTATTTAAAGGAAAAAATCGACTGTGAATTAAGTTAGTTAGCGCTTATTTCCTCTTTTCCGCTCAGAAATGACCAATTTTCAATTCGAATTTAATAAGTAATTTTAAAAAAAATTAAAAGCATGCAAGGAAGTTGTGAAGTTCTTATTGCCGGAAAGCAAATAATAATAAAAAATAACATTGGAAATTAGGAACCCTAATGAAACGCTTACAATTTTTGAAGACGCCTCATAAGACCGTGTTTCAATATTATGTTATTATAGATCTATTTTTTTTTTCAATGTGGAATATGGATTGCTTACCGAATATTATGATGATGGATTGGCATATTTCCTATTTGAGGTTTTCTGTACAATTCAAACGCAGAACCTCGTTGTTCGCGACTTCCAGCCAAGTCCAACGATTGATGTGTTGGTGGTTGCATATTTCCTGCAATTCACGAAAAACAAACAGCATAAGTCAATGAATTTTTATGCGTTTTAGTTTAAGGCACTTACCGTCATAAATTGGTGCGCGTTGAATATGTGGACCGGCATTATATTGGCCTTTATTGTATCCACCGCTTGGTACACCCATGTAGGGTGATTGTGGTTGTTGCATTTGCTGACTCGAGTAATGGCCATTTCCATTTGCACTGTAACAAGAAGAGAATACCGAAATTAAATTTAAATTAAAAATCACCATGGCATTCCGTAATGAAGTTAAATCGTGAATTGAAGGTAATACCTTGCCATACTGCCATATGGATATGAACTGTGATTGTAAGCATGAATTGGTGGTCCATGATTCGATGGAATTGGCGGTTGAGGCAAATGCGGAGGTTGAGACTGTTGTTGATGATAATGAGATTGTGACGGTGGATAGTAGTATCCATTTTGATTTCGTGAACCATCCTATAATATAAAAATGAAATATGTTTAAAAATCAATGTGAAAGAGAGCATATCACTAGCACGTAGTAGTGCAACAATAACACAAACCGTTGTGTCCCATTGATTTGATGGCATATTTCCATTGGTTCCATTTCCATTGCTTGGAACCATTGGTCGATAGTTTTTGGGTTTCGGCGGTGGTACCGGTTTGAATGGCATATTTCCATTTTGTACCGACGAATGATGGTGTTGTAATGGAGATTTCGGTGTACGATCATAATCGGCTTGTGACATTGAATGATTTCGACTGCATGATGATGTTTTAAGTATTTGATGTGTAAGTGTTTTGATTTTGCAGAATGACAAACAAAAGCGAGGGAGACACAAAAGTAACATAAAATGAAAAATTGAAGAAAAAAAATGATTAAAATCAATTACAAAAATTCTACATTTCTTTTTTAGAAGTGAGAAATTCCAATATCGAAAACAATAGTAACTAAAGTTTGAAAAAAGCGGGGGCATTTAAACGAGTGTGTCATATAGTGAGGATCTAATGTAATGATTGTGGTTCGCGTTTGGTTTCATCGGCAGCAAAATGTACATGGGTGAATGTCGAGGACATGAATTTATTCGTCGATCAATTTTCCGAATTGGTGACATCATTTTCAACCAATCCTCTTTCCGTACAAATGTTTTGTACTCTCTTTTTAACACAAAAGTTCATAGATTTTGGTGTTTAGTGAATATTTGAACAAGAAAAATGTATTACAAAAAAGAGTCACATTAAAATATTGGCTTTAAATTGCGTTGGTCAAAGGCTTGCATAAAACAAAATTCAATCAAATGTATTTGAAATGCTATTGTTTTCATAAAATTAATAAAATTTTCAAAGTTCACGTTATCACCGTGCTTATAAACGATCGGTTACCTGTATTTGCCGTAATCAGTTTTTGTTTCTAGCAAAGGTTGTGGTAATTTTCTTGGCGGTGCCATGTCAAGACCAAGATTCATTGGTCGATGTGGCAACGGAATATTTCCCGGCCGTCTTTCAGCTGATAATGTTCTTGGATCCGCACCTATAAATCCAAAAAAAGCAATTATGAAAAATATGTTCATTTCTTTCGAACGGGCCATTATTCAGCACATACCCATGTTCCGTGTATCGCTGTACAGTTGTCTTGCTGTACTGTTTTGTTTATTAAGATCGTTTGTGTTGGACATATTTCTCGAATGATCATGCGGTGAACGACTATTTATTGAATCCGAATGATGAATGCTATGGCGTGGTGATGTGACTGGTGTTTCATTTGATGATGGCAATACATTTCGAACGCTAAACAAATGTCAATGTAAAAAGAATATCATTGTAAATGTCAATCTCGGTGGGTAAAATTTAAAGTTGTGCATGTCAGACTACTTACGCAACGTTTGGTACAGATTTCAAGTCGTCAGGAGCGTTGGGACCCAGTCGAAGACTTTGCATGGCAGCATTGCATGAATCATAGCTTGAAACGCTGTCATAAGATGAACCATTTGTTTTACCATTTGCTGGTGTCGTTGAGTTCGACGACGATCGATGACTCTTTTCCAATAATTGATTGCTCTGTTTGCGATCGAGTGAACTGGCATTCAAACTGCCACGTTTATCAGTTGGTGGATTGATTCGTGTACTGTATTCGTCTTCATAGACTGGTGCTGCATCCGACAATGCCGTTGTCAACGGTGAGTTTGCATCACCAAATAATTGTTCGTGCGCTGATCGGCCATAAGTACCATTTCGGCTATTGCTTGTATTTAGGCCCATCGAATTTCGGGCACCAGCCGTTGTCAGGAGTGTAGATGATGGTGTTATATTGTTGGGTGGCTTCGATGCTCGATCGATTCGAGGCGGTAGATCGGGAGCGTTACCAAGTAAAAGTGTTGAATCACGACTATTTGCCATCAGTGCATTATCGTGCGTTGCAACTGCTTCGGTTGTTAATTCTTCGGTTCCGCTGAAGTTGAATTTATTGTATGGATTCTGCAGTAAAATAAATTTATTAGTTGTTATTTTCTTTTAATTTTAAGAAATATGAAGCATAACTCCATGAAAATATAATATCCCAAGCATGCTCACAGATCGTTAATCTTACCGTGTATGGAGGCGGCATCAATCCATCACCCAAATTATTCAGCTCAACATCACGTTCCAAATTTTCCTGATTAGTGGCGATTGATGGATCAGAACTAGCTTTCACCAATTGCGGTAAATTGCCCATAGATAGGGAATTGGTTGGGCCAGAGCTCATTTCAATATCAGACTCTGGGCTCGATGCATATGATAAGCGAGACGTATTCATTGGGAATAGGAAATCATCGGACAAGGATTCAAGGGGCTATTTTATTTGGATATTGGAAAATGATGAGGGGTGGCATGAGGAGATATTTGGTTCAGAGTTTTGAATGTTTGATGATAGTGAGCAATTTAAATACAGCGGCCACGCAAGCGTGCAGTTTTTGTTTTTTTTTGTTTCAGTTGAAAGGAAATATAAACAGTAGAATGCAGTAAAGATGATACCAAAAAGAAAATTATAATTGGAAAATATTCGGTTTAGTTTAAATCACCATTGGATTGTTGATTATAATGATTTGAATTGAGATGAAATGCATTTTGTTAAAACAGTTTAGTAACAGTTTTTTTTGTGTTGATTTATTTTTTGGGTTTGATGAATTCACAAGCGGTACAGATACGCATGAAAATAAAGAGAGAAAAAAAAACAAACACACTTTGGTTAACATATTCTAGAGATGAACTAATTGACATATTAATTTCATATTTTAAGTAAGTTCCATAAAATGAATGCACCCGAAACTTAAAATGGCACATAATTGTCTTATATACATTTATGATAAATTGCAAACAGTTTAACTGCGAATACTTTATGACTCTTTTAACCTGAGTTTTATATCTATTTTAAATTTCAAAATTATTTGCCATTTTCTCGATCGGTCGCTTGTACATAAAAATTATATTTCTTTCACGGAAAATCGGTCATTACTTTTTGATCGAAACAACAGCAATATTAAAAAAAAATTACTCCAAAATGTTGGCTGAGAAATGGATACTTTTCGAAGCGTAAAAAGTATGTTTCTCGGCTCGGATTTTCCGTAAAATTGTCCTGTACACTTTGAATATCTTTTTTCTATTTATATTTCGTTTTAAATGCTTAATGGAAAAATGTGTGGTGTTAATAGAGCTGTGTGCCAAATGATACATATATTCAAAACGCGAACAAATGCACCACTTCAAAAGATGTGATCCAAACTTCCACCGGAACCATATGCATTTACTAAACTTGCTCGCACATTTGAATTTCGAATAATGTCATCATTGCTTGATATATTCTCAATTAACTCAGACTTGTTGTTATTCGAATCTTGCGCAGTTTGTATGTCCAAATTTTCGATTGGCTCGTTCGCATCCAAATTTTGACTCAATTCATTATAATAATATGGTTTTCTGCGCGGATCTTTAACCACAAACGATGGCTTTTTTAATTCTTGAACATTTTCGTAATTATTTCGACTGAATGAGTTTCGATCGAATGGTGAATTGCCAAACGAGTACAATCGTGGCGATTGTGTGGAAATTTGACTTTTATTCCGTATCGGAACCAAGTGATAACAACGTGGAGGCGGTGGTGGAGCATCAAATGACGTTGGCAATTGTTGCGTATATTGAATGTGATTTGGTTGTGGAGGTATTGGCGGAGGTGATGGCGAAGCAGACAAAGCACGTGATTGATAACGACATTGATTATATAACATTTGATTTGCATGCATTTGAAATAAGGGTTTGCAAGAACGACAATTGCATTTTGGCATTGGAATCATTGCGGGTAGGTATATATCGGATGTAAATACATTGGGCTAATATTTTGAGCGTTTACAAAGAAAATTGATGAAAAAAAAAGAAAACAAACAAAAAAAAACTTTTTAATTTCACATCTTGGTTGATGATCTAAAAATTTTGATAAAAAAAATTCTTAAAAAATTGATTTGGATAATATGAAAAGAAATTTTGACAGTGTCGGTAAGGAAAGTGAGCCCCACAAGAAGTATTTATATACAAAAATCGGGATATTAAATTCCCAAGCCAAAAAGTATACCCGTTCAAAATGAATTGTTCGTCAATTGTTGTTTTTTATGTTTTCCAAAGAAAAAAAAAGATGTTGTGTTATGTTATCGCCTGTCACCAGTTTTTGTTACCTTTTTTGACAACATTCATACCCAAAGATTCAGATTCATAGAACATTTAAATGCGTTTATTATAAAACCTACACCATCGAAAGCATCACCTTCTTTCACGACAATTAATGTTTAATTTATTCCATCGACCATTTAACATGTAAATGTGTGAATTATTGTGTGTAAAGTTTCAACGAAAAATCAAAACAAAATTGTTACCTTGTTTTCGCTCATCCAAGCGGCTCCGCTTTGCAGTTGATCGATGCTGTCTCGTAATTTACGATACCATGTGTCAGTGTCGGTTAAACCGATTGTATTGCTAAATACATGGGACCAAATGCGATCTAATTTTTGTGCTGAAAAAAGATTGTAAACGTTATTCAAGATGCAAACACTTTTGACATTAAAAAGGCTGGGTTACATTGTTCAAATAATTTTTTGGAGCTTTTGTGAGCTGATTTCGGTAATCCGTGACGCAATTGTTTGATTGTATGCTTTGTGTCTGCTTTCAAGAAAATGACAATCGGATAGAACTGTGCATAATTCAAACGATCAACAGCATTCGGTGTTATATCGAGCAGTGCATGTTTGCCACGATCCATAATATCTCGTATATTTGACAATCGAATAATGCCACTCTTTCCCGTCGATGATTTATCGTCTGCTTGCAATGGTGCTGTGAATTTATCTGGAAAATCTTTAATCAATCGTTCTCTAGCGATATCACTGACTGCACCGAACAAAACGACCGGTCGCACAAAGCCTGGATGTCGTAGAACAACACGTTCATAGGCCGGGAATTTCGAAATTGAATCGGAGAATACGACATCATCCCAATTTTCGCGTGACAATGATTTTGATCGTCGATGTGAGGATGAACGTCGTCGTCGGAAGAAGCTGGTTCTTGATTCGCTGGCGTTCATTTCTTTCTTTGATGCATTGAATTGTGCCGTTGCCAACTCTTCCGCACGCGATTTATTCGGAATGACACCACGTTGCATTTCTTGATGACCTCGACCGATGCGTAACACTTGCCATGAACCGACCACACCATTGTGCAATGTATCAACGACACGAAACACGTCACCAGCTTTAAATGCCATTTCTCCTTTCGTCGGTGTATCACAATGAAAATGTGTTTTTATATGAAACGAATCGCCTCGTTGACTTGAAACCACATTTTCATATTCATCTTTGCAATGTTGCACTATTAAATCGATTTGATCTTGTAAACTGAGTAAAAATAAAACGGCCTCTTCACGTGTCACGCCGGCCATATCCATATCGTTGACTTTGAGAATTTTATCGCCAGGCGTCAAGCCTTGCATTGATGCTGCTGACCCGGGTTGCACGGCTGTAACAAATATACCGGCCTCATTGCCGCCTGTCAATCGAATGCCAACGCTTCCTTCTTTTTGGAATGAAATGAATCGAGGCTCGCTTGGTTGTTTTGTTCTTTGTAATGGATCCTCCTGATACAGTTGACGTCGTGAACTGTAAAAATCTTCGGATGTATTGTCACCGCTAATGCTGCGATTTCGTGAATGTAATACTTGTGGTGAATTTGGTTTGTCCAATTGCATCATTGGCCCATCAACGATTGGACCGCGTGAACGTCCGCGTGGCGTTAGATTGTTTTTATCGTCGGGCGATGCATTGGAATTTGTCGAAAGTGGCGAAGTGGCAGATGGTCGTGTTGGCGGTTGAACATATAGATTTTGTGTTGAATAACCGCTTGTATTTCCATTATAAAATGTTTCCTCTGGATTACTGCAGCTTGACACTTGAGCCGTATGACCATACGTTGTATTGTTGGGCGCAACTGTTGGTGTATTCAAATCACGTAAAACCACTAAATTCAAACGCTCTTTACAACTGTCGATAACTTTACGCGCTTCTTTTAAACTCATCGCATCATTTGTGTTTGTATTGTGAATTCGAGTAACGATATCGCCCTCTTGCAATGTATAACCATTTGCAATGAGTTGATCACGAGCTTTTGCCGAAATTTCTTTGATAAATAGTCGACATCCCAGAACAATGCCAAAATCCTCTTTTTTATTTGGCTTTGTCAATACCAATTTAATGGCTTGACCAGAACTATTATTGCCAATGTTGCCACCACTGAGACCAGTCGAACTAACCAAACTGTTTGAATGCTGATGATTGTGTGTTGCACTGCTGTTTAATGGTGGTCCCGTACTTGCACTGGTTAATAGACCCATATTAGTTACACGCCGTTTTATAACCAATGTTACCGTATTTCCACTGTCGCGCAAAACTTGAACAGCCGTTGCATAATCAACATTCTCCAACGATACACCATTCACTGATATTATTCGGTCATTTTCTCTGTGCGTATGAAAAATGATCATTTCATTGATTAATGATTTATTTGTATTTTATGAGTTTTTTTTTCTGTCACATGTTCTAATTGAATTTCGACTTACAATAATTTATCTTCTGCTGGTCCACCTTTCAAAACATCACTAACGGCTATCGCTGGATCGCCGGTGACAAAGTGTGGATTATCACGGCCTCCGCTAACCGCAATGCCTAATGAACGTTCGAAAAACGAAAAATAACCATAAAATTCTCCAAAAATTACTTATTCATGTGGTACATTTTGATATACATACCAAATCCATAGCCGGTTACACGAGTCACAGATACAGTGTGATATTCCCATGTTGTTCGATCACCCTGAAAACATAAAAAATCATCAGATTTAATGAATTTGATTATGATAAGATGCACTAGATCGAAATATTTTTCGTTTAACGCAGCTTGATTTTGATGATGAAGAAAAAAACATGTATTCAGCGTTGATTAAATTTTCGATTTAAATTTTTCTCCCATTTCAAGAACCTACTGTTCCGGATTATTATCACCTATTTTCTAACCGGTTTTCATTCTAATAATGTTTTTTTTTTCGTCTCTTTTTCACTTCGTTTCTACGCATGATTTGTAGTCAACTCGCCCTTTCACATTCAATCACACGCCTTAAAACGACACATAATCATTTCAATTTTTAAATATTTATTTTGAATATAACGATATGATTCGAAGTGAGAAATCGGTAGATAGGAAAATTAGCAGATTGATGACGATACAAAACGATTGCGTAGGCGATAGAGTCTCGTAAGTGATATTCATAGAAAATGTCAATGAAAATATCAGATGTTTGTGTAAATATTAAGACTTTAAACTGACATATTGTTTTCGAATATGGCTAAATCAGTGACTGACAGTAAACTAGATAAAATCTTTTCTTCTTCTTTTGATCAACATAAATGGTATTTTGGATTCATGACGAGTATTTTGCTCTTTAAAGTGAAAATCCGATTAATTTCACAATCGATTTTTCTTTAGAACAGATGGATCTGAATAGATTTTATGGTGTTGATACTTATTGGAGTTTTCACTTTTAAAAACCATGAGCGGATTCATCCATCATTATGTTGTGAAAATTGTGTTTTCAACTCTTGAACTATATCTTATTCAGCGCTTCTGGTGAGTTACCTCATAAATTTGTATAGTTAAAAACAAATTTTAGGCTAGTTTCTCGAATGAAATAATCTCATAAATTTTCAAAAAAAAAATGTTTTCAAAACATTTAGGTTTCGTTTAAATACTTTTATAGATTTCTTCATCTAAACAAAGAGCTCAAGTTCAAATGTCATTCGGTTTATTTCAAAACGAGGATTCCTCATTTTAAAACTTAAAAAATAGCAACAAACACTAGACTGGCTTAATAATATCCACATTAGTTTCTTACCAATAAATTATTGGGTATTGATTTATAAATTCGCATTCTTCGCCGATTTTATTAATGAGGTATTCCAACAGATTTCTGAAAGGTCTCAGACCGATTTGGGAAGTCACATCCGTTTATTTAAACAAATAAGCTTCGCATATTAGTTTTTTTAAATCAATTTAATAGTGATAATCATCTTTTTTTACATTCTACTTTTCAGACATTTCATTGCTTTCACAAATGATGATGTTTTTTTTTGTTTATTATCTCTTTTATGTCACACACACTTATTAAAGACGAATATCAAACGATTATATTTCTTCAAATAAAAGCATGAAAACAGTTGTTTTGACAAACTAAATCACCGTTTTTTACAATAAAAATTCTAAAGAATTTAATGAAACACAATCCTTATAACAGAACACGTAATATATAATTAAACGATGAGAAAATTTCCAACACACAGAATCTTCCAACTAACAACAAAAATGCGCACCAAAATAAAATGACCGAAAAATTATCTCAAAAGAAACAAATCAATTTAATCTTTGTCCAATTCAAAACTTGTTTAATGGCATAGAAATCGCAACATCCATAAATAAAGTGAAACATGTAATGAAATGCATTGAAGAAAACAGGCACAAACGTGTTTTTGCATGTCAAAGTCCTTTCCAACAAAATTTACACTACACACTTTTTATTCATGAAGAAATCACTAAAATAAATATCTACGAAAGTGAAATTGTTGATAATAATTTGTTCTTTCTTTAACGTTTTTTCAAATTGGCGATTGTAATATTATTACGATTTGTATTTTAGTGAGACACAATGAATGATATCGTCGTCGACCACTCAAACATACTGAATGCCTGTGAACAGTGATCGAAGAATAGCTTTGCAAAGACGATGAAATACACATGCACGTGTGAGATGACACGTCTATGTATGAAATTATTTACTCTCTTCTTGTTTCGTATGCTTTGTTTTGTGGTGATTTTTACGCATACATACACGTACACATATCTCAGAACGCCGCACTACAGAGTATGTGATAAAACGTAGCTGCATTAAAAAAGAACAAGAATGTTGCCAAACAGACACACGTACGACGAGTTTACAAAAACAAAAACAGACTGGAGCACACATCATCAATAACGAAGAAGTATGTGAGGCAGATCGCCGAAAATGAATACACACACAAATTGGGCAAAATCTTGAAAAAGTTAAATTTTCGTGTTGCAAACCAATGGTGAATTAAATATACACGAATATCAACTTTCAATCTTTCGTGGTGCTGATGAGTGAATTAGTCATCTATTTCACATCTTTAAATATTGAAATTTTTGTCAATTTTCACATCAATACAGAGACGGTCAATTTACACATTTTCTGGGAAGAAATTATGTATTGAAATATTCTTTGAAAAATTAAAGTGAAGCAAACTCAATGCGTGTGTTACACATTTAAGTTGTCGTATATGTTGCAAAATTTCATCATTAAAATAATCATCTTTTCCATCAAATACATAATTTAATCACGATCTCATTGATACTTTAATGCTAATGAATGAAACAATCATTTGTTTGTTTTGATGCTACATAATAGTTTGTTGACAAAAAAACCTTACTGAGCGCGTTTTCTTTGATTCATTCAGCTCATAGCTAATTTACATTTAATTGAAATGTTACATGTCATGTCTGGCTACCAGTGTTGGGTTAAGATACAGATATTTAATAAGATGCAGATAAGATTCCAGATAAGATTGTATCTTTTATCTTATCTTAATCTTACAGTAAAACATCTCATCTTATCTAGATACAATTTTTTTAACGTCATCTTTTAAGCAATATCTAGATACTTTTTAAGATGTTTTCAAATTTTTTCGAGGTATTTTGAAATTTTTTCGAAAATTTTCTAATTTTTTTTGAAAATATTTTTTTCTATTTATAAAATTATTTATATGAAAAAATGATGTATCTAGATACTCTTTGTGTATCTAGATATCGAAAAGTATCTAGATACTTGAAATCATCTAGATACTTTTGATTATCTAGATACTTAGAATTATCTAGATACTTTGAGTATCAAAATTCGAAAGAAATGTCTGAGCTAAAATATCTTTTAAAATATCTCAGATACACCCAAGATATTATCTCATCTTTGCGTTTTTCTAGATAAGATTTGGTATCTTATCTAGATACTATTTTGAAAATTTTAAATTCATCTTATCTTGTATCTAAAGATTAGATAGTATCTTTACCCAACACTGCTGGCTACTATTAAGACGCCATACCGGATAGAATATAATGAAGTGTATTTTAAATCGTCCACGCAAATCGATTGTCTTTACAAAATCGAGAAGAGATTGTGTTTCTTTATTTACATTTTGTTCGATTCGCCACTGAATTGTGGACTGTAAACAGCAAATTGTTATTGTTTAGATTGAAAACGTTCGACCAGCATAAAACTAAATAAAAAGAAAATCATTTTGAATTTATGTTTAATATTTTGTTGTGTTGACCATTATCGTTGTTTTTGCTTCAAACTTTTTTTTCCTATGTAAAAGAGTGAGGAAAAAAAATGGCCAAAAAAGTTCTTTAACCCACATAATTATAAGCTATTACATTTCATAATGAATAAATTTTCAAAATGACCATCAACAGGGAATATGTTTCAGTGTTAACAGGCGTTTTATGTATTTTATGGCAGACACGATGGATTTTAATTATGATAAGTTTAAGTACTTCTTCAGAAAAATAACGGAAACTTAATCTAGAGTTTCGACTGCGTAAATTTTATGAGGTGCCAATTGCAATATAAAACATTTGTAATCGTTTATTTGTCAGCATGATGATTGAAATGACCACAAAATGTATGCAATCAGTGACAAGCAAAGTGATTGTTTAAATATGTATGAAAAGTGAAGCCCTACAACACAATTCAATGAATGTTTTCAGATTGAAATTCGAAAGTTTGTCTGAATTCACTGAAATAGAACGTTATGGAATGGTGTTTTATGGTTTGTCGCGCTATTTATTCTTTGCGCGTGCCACTTTGACGGACAACAACCAGTAAGGCGACACTTTTTTGTGTGTTAACATCAAACAAATTTCAGACACACACTCAATGCAGTAAGAAAAAACCAGAAGAAAAAAACAGTTACAAAATAATACATATCGGCCGGTCTAAGCATAAATTCCGGCAAAAAGACGAATTATAAAAAAATGCTCGTTTTGATTAGTATAGACCCTAGAACGGTTTGAAATGAAACCAGTTTGGTATTTCGGGAAAATTATAATACATAAAACATTCCTGGCAATGCTTTTTTATGATTCTAATAAAAAAAATACATATTTCCACATTGAACACATTTTCTCGTTACATTTTATTTTATGCGATAGAAATAAAGAGCATACAATGATTAATATATTCGCTTTGCGCTGATTAAAATATTAAAAACACATTTGCGATGCGAATGACTGTGGTGCTTTCAATGGTCATTTATTTAAATTATTCCACAAGCTGCAAAAGTGCAATAAGTATTATATGCAATATACTAGTTATCATATGGCTTGTTGCGGATGCAATTCATTCGCGGATGGTATAACTTTCATAATGTGCACACCGCACAAACAAGTTATAAGGCCAAATGATAGAAAGTTAATAGCACCAGTTTGAGAGTTGATTTTGTTTTCAATACATACTTTTTTCCGTAGCCAATGGCTCAATATTCATTGATTTCTCTTTTTCTAAGCATCAACTGCTGTAGCAGAATCGATATTTTTCTTTTATTTACGTAAACACGTGCCTACCAAGCAAAATTGCGACAACTACTCAATCACTTTGCAGCTTAGGATTGTGATAACAGATGTTATCGTCAAATTTTATTACAATATAACGAATTAAATTAGAATTTAGACAACAAAGAAAACGTATATTTTTCAGA